AATAGATTTGGCCCGAGTATTGTTGAACAAGAATTACAACAATATTTGCCGTTGCTGACGCAAGAATCTGTTGGCATGCTCTCATTGGCTGGCTCCACCAAGCCCCCGCGCGTCATGTGATAGCGCGTAGCCGCGTGCTGCGGTCACATTTATCTGCGCAACAAGAAAACTACAGTTCTTATTAATGTGAACACACCCACCCGAATAGTCATGATTATGAGTCAGATTTAGAGCACGATTTTAATTCGAAACATATTAAGCATATAATTACTATGAATAGACACATCTACCTAAACTGTCATAATGAAATCGGTTGTTGCCGTCTGTTGTACCCATATGTCTTTAATTATAACTGATGTATGTCTCTTGGTGAAGAATGAGGTATATTATACTTTTGCTTTACTCTTGCGCCGGTCATCGTTATACTGCTTAGAGAAGATCGCTATCTGCGAAAACACAGAGGCCTTTCAGCACTGTACATATACACAGGTAAATTCCTTGTAACCGGCTTGCAATCATAGCAGCATTATGTCGTTAGTTCAGGCGTTAACCCTAGTTTACTTTAAAAAAAAAAACATTAATCCCGCATTAAATGGATGAATTTAGGGTGGTAGAGTCATCTCTACGTGCTTGATCACGTTGACTCGCGGGCGCGGTCACGAAATATCAACCATATTACTTGGTATCCAAGTGTTCACGTACGAAATTCACGCGCGGTCTAAGTAGCGGGCAAACTAGCGGCTGGAGCGCGTGCGGCCCTCGCGGCATTATCAAACGCTTGAGACGTTTGTGCGTGTTAACGCCGAACTAGCGGCGGAGCGCGCTATTCACTCTTCTTGTATCTTTTATTAACTGATGTTTTTGCTTTCAGTCCCGAGACTATTATAGCTTCATCTGACGCAGAACCGGTAGGCTAGCCAGAACCCACGGGTTTGGGCCCTCCGCTGTGGGTAGGGCCGCGCATGTACTCATGCGTATGTTTAGCTATGGTATGACACTCCTTATTCAATCTAGTATGTGATCAAAACAGTTTAGAGTCATTCCGGTATATCCAAAAAAATCTTGAAGGATGTTCTCTCAAATTACTATATAAAGTATAAAATTAACCATACCGTTCTCTTTCATTATTAAACTGGTGCACACCAATTTTAATTTTTAGTATCTTGCACTTTAGGTATGAGTTTGCGGTTAAAAATAAAAGATCGTCATCCATGTTTTCAACCTCTGAAAACACGTCACATTCGCGACGCGCTCGCACTCGCCGCCGCGCCCGCGTGGTCCTACGTGAACAAGCTACCACCGAATTCGATTCAATTTGCTATCGGCATAAATGATCAGCTGCCTTCTGTTGTTTTTCGTTCGTCGGCAGTCAAGAATTTTTCGTCCGAAAAACAAGAAAATCATCTTGTCCTATTTTAAAAACAAAAGAACACCATGGAATCGAATAAATCCCGCTCGTTTCATCTGCGCAATAGCTCAGACAATTATATGTAGGTAATAATCAACTTAATATTTCAAAGGTTATGGAAACTTTTAGCAACTTGTACTTTAGTCAACCTTGGGGTGGTATAGAGAAAATTAAGTAGGTTCGCAGAGAGATTTCTGACAAGGAAAACGTTAATATTTACAAACTATGTTATGTATATGCATATGTTAAATGCACTCCTAAAAATATACAAAGTAAGAAAAATAGAACCAAACATACGTAATGCACACTGACATATATAAATAAATACATATAATATATCATTCACCAAACGAAACGCAGAAGTATTACACTTCTACTTCACGCTGGTCTTTTGTAGTCGTACTACGAGTGATCGTAGTACTTACCCCGGACGGACCTGGCCATTCGTGCAACAACGAAGACTGATGCGTGACTGCGTGGCCCAGTGGTCCTACTACAGTGAATAATAATAACTCATCAAGCATCCTTAAAATATGCACTCGTTTAAAAACTGAACTTTTAAATTTGCCGTTCCTCGTATACTTTCGTTTCTAACCTTAACTAGGGTTACGGAAGAAAACTTCCTCATTTTTGAAGTTTCGTTTTGAAACTTATATATAAGAATTTGGCGAATTTACTAGTAATAAACATTTAATTAAAATGTCTGAATGCGGCTGTACAACGATACTGTTATACCATCATGTGGGATAATTGTCATGCTCCTTTTTACAGGCGACTTGCCTTTTTTCTGCCATGCTAAATGTACGAAGGCCGTTTGTAATTAGCAAATACGCATCAGATCGTCGATAATGCTCCGCACGTGTGTCCAATTGACAGCCACGATTGGCGCCTTATTAACTACGGTGAACTTTCCACGTGATAGAGCAATAGTTATGTATATATGCCAGTCTCTCTATATTAAAATATTATTTTTATTTTATGGCACAACCACGTGCCATAAAATAAAAATAATATTTTAATATATTTCTACTCCCCATTGTAATTATATTAATATTATACTTTTAATTCTTATAATCAGGCAATTACTTTTATCCTTGTCAGATTTGCATCCTTTTCGTTACGTATCTGCACTATGGTAAGGCCGCGGAGCAACAATTGTTGCCCAAATAGGCAGTTTTGTCCCGGATAATACAACGGATTGACAGGGGACCACCACAAAGTGGAATTTTTGTTTGTTAAGTGAAATAACCAGGGACCTTTCTATTAAAGTTTGGAAAATCATCTGCAGCCCCACAATTACTCTAGAGACGTTTAATATTACTTTGTAAATACTAAAACAAATGCTAATCACTCTTTGTAACCTTAGCAAAACAAAAACAATATTAGAAATTCAATTATTTTTTAAACATGATTGAAATTACCGATAATTGCTGCAGAACTGTTAATTAATAATATAATTATAAATAAATATCTTCAAAGTCATAAAAATTAATGACAAAAATTATCATTATTATAGAAAATTGAATTGTTTATGCGAAAACCAAGAAAAACATATTATTCCATTATAAATACAAAACAACACCATGCAATTATGTAAAACCTGATCATATACAATATACTGCGCCATTCTTATGGCAGTATTTTTATTTACTCGTGTATACGCATAGTGTTATAATTATTTTCTTTAATTTAATCTTTGTAATTTATTAATATTTTTTTTTAGAAAAAAGTTTAGGCCATTTAAAATTTCAATGTTTACATGCCATTACTAAATACATTATTTTGTACGCAACTCCACCTTTTCTTTATGGCGTCCAACGATCGGGTCTCTACGGCTCATGAAGACCAATGGCCAGTGTCGGGCGACCAGTGCTTAAATCTTTCAACTGACATCCGACTTTTGATTAGAGAAAAAACGCGACCATAAAAGCTTTCTAACGCCATCAATCGGAACAAACCGGGCCCAACTTATACCTACGCCTTTAACTAGTGGCAAAAGATCGTATATAGCAAAACACTGACAGAACCCTTGGGATGCTCTCCTGAAAGATCTCAAGCCATCGCACAATACCTGCAGGCCCGAAGTATCGAATTTAGGGCTGCATTACTACCTACAAGCAAACCTAAATGGAAGATATACGAGACAATCTTAAGAGAGAAAGAATCTGTTCTGAAACTCCAACAAACTTATTCAGTCGGAAATCTACATTCGACCCGATCATTCCCATCCCGAGTGATACATTGCCTGACGGAGAACATTCTGAAAGGCCTCATCAACCGCACGTATAAGTACGGGTAGGTGCTTCCTTGTGACGCAAAATCAGATTTGGCTTGCTTTGTAAACTGCTTTCATATGATATATCAGATGTGCTTGTCATCCGAGCCTTTTCGCTGAATACCTCTTTCTCGATACCGAGTAGAAGGTGCTCTGTCCATAAGCTCTCTTACCTCATCAGTCGCAGCCATCATCTCAAATATGTCCTGGTCAATCATTATAGTGATTGTTGAGAACGTTGGCAGTTATAAGGTTGGGTTATCACTTATCAATTATTAAATGTTGTCAACCGTCCCGTACCGTATGACCTGGGTGCTTTAATATGAACACGTGACGATGCCAGTTCAAGATCGTTTTGGACAAGACGGAATTGCGCTCAAGCGTTAGTCCAGTGTACTTGGCTTAGTGACTGTTCTGTGATCTAAGCTTAATTCATAAATTCCGTGGTCCTTAAATCAACCGCGACATGCAAAATGTCCGATAAATTTTTTGCTTCGACTGGATGCGATGTTGTCAATTTTTAATTGCTCAACAAGACTGTGTAAGAATATTATCGTTAGTATTGGTCTGAGCCGATTTTCAAGCTAGTTTGATATGTAATCTGTTAAATAACATCATGGAACTTCAACTTCCTTGGTGTCAAACATCATTCTTCAATTACTATAAATGTGATTGTAGAATCACATTTGACGAGGAGAGATAAACAGAGACTTATAATAAAGTCATCGCTAGTAGGTAAATTCTATTTTACGTCTTTATAAACCAGCTCGGGGAAATCGAGTGGACTAATTTAAACTGGGCTGTTAGCTTATGGTGGCAGATGAACGTTTAATTGACGATTAAAGGAATGCATATGCTCGATTTAAACAAGGTCTCGTGCACCAATAAAACTTTTATGGTAAAATAACTAGAATAATTTGCATTTTTTTCTTTTGTTCATATCATTTGGTGATCAGTTCATAACATTAATTTCTGAAAAATACAATATGGTATTTAATATTTTTACTGTTAACAAAATTAATTATACATGTTGGTAAAAAATACCAATGGAATCTCAATTTTAATAATAAAAAGTGATTACATTATAGGTACTATACATCACGCCTTACAATTAGCTTTTCTGTCACACATTTTATAACGCTAATCTTTTTTTTAATGCGTCTTGAACCGACAGATAAAATGTACTTATTGATTATTTAACAATCTAGCAAACGATATCAATCTAACGATAATGCTACATTTCGTATTTTTTTTTATGTAATACAAACTTGCAATGATAAATTGAAAAAACTATTACATAAGATACAGTGAGACTTACGCTAGTGCTAAATCGTGGCTGCTCCTTATCGCGATTAAGTTTCGGCAGTCGATGCCGGTCTGATCTGGCGTGTTGTTAATTTTACTTATTTGCATTTCATTTTTCGGATTTCCAAAAAATAACCGGTACATGTTTTGCACTAAGCGGGCTTACCGCTAAAAGGTTCTAACAACAAATTCACGGAAAATCGTGCCGCCTGCTGGCATCATTATGTACATAAAGTTAATGCCTGTTTGAGACTTGGCGGTTGAGTAGAAACAATCTTTGTGTTGTGTGACAGAGCGCACGCACGCCGCGGCTAGAATTAGGGTCAATTGGACCGAAAAGTTCACAAAAAACTTAATTGACAATAATCAAGATGTATTGGGTGGATGTGTGACGATTTGCGTCAACATTTGTATTAGCGTCATCGAACTAGTTACTACCTAATTGTACAAGACTGTGAAGGTCAAAAGTAAATCAGCCGTCGCGACGGTACCTATATGAAAAGGCAAAACCGTCACGACTTTTAATCCTAACAAGGATGTAATTCAAAATCAAAAAAAGTGAACAAATGACAGCACAATAACTAAATAAAAACTTTCTTTAACATGCACATTGCTATAATAAAGAATCCTTTTTTCGTTAGTAGTTCTAATTTTCATTATTCACCTATCGTTTATAAATGTTATAGAAGCATTAATTTGCAATACTGAACCATGCACAAACATTTTGTATTTTAATTGATATCATCGGCGCTATTTTCCTTTATTCTCTAATTAGGGTAAAATTTAACATAAGCATGCATTAACATTATATTGACTTCACAAACGATAGTCGAATATAGTCGTTAATTTTATGTCAAAGAAAAGCGGTACAAATACATATTAAATAGTGTAGCTTATTGCAGCTCGTTACTGTTTAAGAAATTATTTTCATTAGCTAGTGACATCAGACTCCTCAAAAAAAATCATGGAAATTTTGCGTACCCCGTAATTTGCGGGCATGATAAAATCGCTATAAATAAATTGTTACAATCATCACGTGTAACGCTATAACCCTAATAAGTGATAACTAACCGAACACGTATGGGTCTTACTAAAATTTTGTTGACTTCGTTCTCCAATCACCATATGACCTCCAGATCCAACACAGCAAGCCTCTGTCCGCACACATTTAAACTTAGAAGGCGTGTTCGCGTACGTGCACATAACTGGTTGTAGTTACACAGAAGCAAGACAGGCGCATTGTGGTAATGTGTGCATGCTTAAGAATGCGATTCATTTGAAAAGGCGCCAGTACACACGTATGCCAGTCACCTGACCGTCTCGACAGTTTGATAATCAATAACAAAAGATCGTAACTTATTCGGAGTTAATTTAAAATATACCTTATGGGCAATTATTAAGACTTGTTATAAGAAAAAGTTTGATTACCAGTCAGGAACGAAGACTTTCCAGTTAAGATTCGAAATGCCTTATGCACAAACTACGTTGAAATAAACTTTCCGCTATTTGTGCACAGAAGGCAGTGTCGATTCCCTTTTTTAATAAACATTCTTTCAACATAACAGATACATATAAATATACAAATTAGTTTAAGGGCTAATAATATAATTTGGGTCACTGTCTTATTTTCTAGTTTCCGTTAACGGCATTTTATGTCGTCTCATATCTTAATATAAAAACAATTTATATAGATCAGATTCGTCCTTGAAAGCTTTCGATTATCTTAATAATTGCAAACATCTAAAAAATATTGGTCGTTGCGGTTTAAAAGAAAATAAAACATTTGACCCCGACGTGATTTGAACACGCAACCTTCTGATCTGGAGTCAGACGCGCTACCGTTGCGCCACGGAGTCGTTAAGAGATAGGTTGAAAATTTCTAAAACATATTGCAGGATTAGCTTTTTTTTAACTATGATTTTCTTTTATACCTCAATATTTATTCTTGTATATTCCATACAATTATCAAGTATTAAAAGAAAGATGAAACAGGAATTAATGATTAATATTAAATATGATCTGTTTACAAACTAAGAATAGATGACTAAACGCCCCCTACACTTAGGATAATGTACTAACTACCAAGTGAAAGTTTTATCATTCGTATAGATAAATGGCATATTTTTAAATTACATTTTAATAATATGTGAATTATTTGTTAATAATAGCAGTATTGTAGTTGTAATTTTTGCTTTTAGAAGTTGTGTTCAGTTGAGACATAATGAAGAATCAATAATGATAATTATTTACATAAACAAATTATTTAAGATGGCTTAAACTTTTATAACATGTATAATTTTTGCTTTATTCTGAAAATAAATGTAATTTAACATTCTTTTTAAATGTTTGTTATATTACAAATGACTTTTATTATAATACAAAAATACATACATTTAGTCATCGCCCCTGTGGCCTAATGGATAAGGCATCGGCCTCCTAAGCCGGGGATTGTGGGTTCGAGTCCCACCAGGGGTAAGAAATACTTTTTTATCGACCGTTTCCATCCCTTTTTCTTGTAATATGGATTGGACATTTTTCATTTACCTTTCATTTTTCTTGCACGTTTTATTTTATTGAAATTAATCTCTCTGGATCGTCGTGGCGACGGTATTAACAATTAATAATTTCGTAATGAATTTACCTTTTTTTTGTTTACCAATTCATACTACTTTTTTATTTAATGTTCCCTTTTCTTATTCGATAGAAACACGAAGTAGATTCTGCATCTGGTGAGGTAACCAGGGCCCATGTTCTTAAATAGTAGAAATCTCTTATGTGTGATAACTTATATAATGTGTGTTTATATGAGCTTAAATACTTATTTTAAATGGTTCAAAATTGACAAAAGTTGTTTAAATGCTCAAAATCAGCATTTAAACAACTTTTGTCAATTTTTGTTTACGTAAGTTTGGATTACGTACATCGTCTTAACTCAATTTATTACACTCGAGATATTGATATGACTGTTAGGTAAGACTGGAAGTATTGTTGTGAATATATGAATTTATTACACTTTTTCATACTCTTTACAAAACTTCCTGTCGTGAAATAAGAACAGTCAACAATTTTTATCTTGTGATTCATCCTCTCCACTCGCAGATAAAACAGCATTAAATAGTACGACGATTAGCGTATGACATACGTTGTTTGTACATTTAACAGCAATGTCTGCGGAACTGGAAAAATGTGTACTTTTTTATGAGAAATACGTGACTCGCCGGTACAATGTAACTTAGTGTACAATTTTGTCAACTTCCGCAGTATTGCGCCATGCACTGTGAAACGGGTGGTAAAATCAAATTATTAGAATATCTATACCATTTGGCACTTAGATACACTGATTACTCTCATCGTCATTTTCGTTCAATTTATGAAAAAAATGTTAAGATAACACACATACGTTGATTTAATGAAAAATTTGTGTAACAAAACAGTGAGTATTTGTAGCATAAAGAGCGAACATACTCTCTTATAATAATTTCCCTCTTGAAGTTCGACAAGCTTTTATAAGAAAAAAAATAAATAGATTTGCTATTCAAAGGGTACTCATACTACTTATCAGGTAAATAAATTGTAATATAATTATTATTATAAATAAATTATAATACTTATCAGGCGAACCACCTTTCCATTTGGTCCCTTCGACCATAAGTAGAATCTATTTTTAAAACAACTTCGCCATCGTAGCAATGTAGTTAGTATTTTCTTACATTACGATCTATTTACTGACTGTGGCATAGTTCTCTGGCAAATATTAAACGGAAGAGACTTTGATGGTTGAATTTGATATTTCGATTGATCTTCATTAGACGAATGAGTTATTTTTAAATTGTTGACTCGTAACTTTTTTTAATTTCTGAGAAATGGCACCTAAACTAGCGGTTTACCTGATGGTAAATGGGAATCACCGACCAGAGACAATCAGAAAACTGATGATGGTGCTGGCTTATTGTCAACTATTGAAAGAGAGGGGTCTCTTAGTACCTCACAAAAAGAGGGAAATCCAAAAGTTCTTCTTAGAAAAACTTCACACGCCGACCTTTTGTGATACCGCGCTTCTTGCCTGGTGTAACTGGTTTAACAGCTACTTAAACATGTGATATATGTGAGATATTGTGGCCCTACCCCAGTAGAATCGGTATACGATGTAGTCCATCATTGATATTTTCAATAATTGTTACAATACTCGTAAACATTCCACCTAATGATGGCTTAAAATACACTTTAACGACAAAGTAAAACGCAAGGGCAATGATGAAAATATTTATTGATTAAATGTATGCAAAATTGAGATCATAAGAGAAAGTCCTAAGTGCACTTTCCAAAAAGGCGACATCGCGACTCCAGCCCCGAGCAACGGCAAACAACGCAAACCTGAATGTCGAAAATAGTAGCCCACTTGATTTGGTCGCCTGCATTCCGTATCTGAAAGGTATTTGTGACTATTAACATTTGAATTATGATCTACCTACGCCTTTTAAAGAATAAAATTTAGTCTAAAATAATAATCAATTAAAACTTTGTTGAAAATGTAGGTATATATTTAATACTATAGTATAGTGAAAAATAATGTTTTACTATATTTTTAAAATAAAGTAAAATTTTAAAATTTTAAAAATAAATTTAAAAAAATTTTTTTTTTTTGACAATATGATATATTTCACAATATGATTTTATAATATAAGATTCTCCTTTCATTTAATTACATGATTAACAAATTACATTATTATTAATTTCTTAGTTTGTTAAATAGTCGTCTATATATTATTAAATTTCACCATATTACACAACGGCGCCGTGGCTTAGTTGGTTAAAGCGCCTGTCTAGTAAACAGGAGATCGGGGGTTCGAATCCCCCCGGGGCCTAGTGGATATAAATCTCTTTTTTACATTTTTTTAAAGATTTTTTTTGTTACTTTATACTTTGATGATATTGGCATTTTTTTATTATTAAATTTTCTTTATTAATAAAGTTTCTTACGCGCACAAGAGTTCAATGTAGAAACGGTAGTCACTACAAAATGTGCCGGTGGGCAGAAGTCTGGAGAAGGGCATGGTGCCGTAAGATTGAAGGTGAAAACATCTCGTTCATTGATTGTTTGACATCCGTGTGATGCTGCAGCACCGCGCCGCATGCATACCAATATTTTACCGTGATCGTCATTGCGAAACTGAAATTGTGGAAATAAACATTAGGAATATAAGCGAAGTAATAAACATAACAATATTGATGAAATAATGGTACCTTTAAAAATTATAGATGCCTAAAATGGAAAAGATAAAATATTTACATTTTGTTTCCATTTTAATTCAATGTCAGTGAATTATGCGATCTTGAATAATAATTAGTTTGTCAATAGATTCATGATCACGTTCAAATTATTTTTCAACAAATCATCTAGTTACAAAGTCTCTTAAGTCTGTAAAGTGCCCCCTAGTAAATAGACTTAAAACATTTTTCATTCACAAATGAGCTTTTTCGTGTTTCAAGTTTTGTTTTAATACCTTGCATTAATTCCATAACATTGTGATAGATGGCGGTAGTAAAAATTAATAAAAAAATTGAAATTTGTTATTACACGTATAAAAGTATTTTCTGATAACCTTGATACTTAATATGACAATAAAAAACAATATTTACTATGTCATTGTTTAACAAGATTTCTAAATATATAATTCTAAATCTAAATAGTATAATAGTTCAAATAATTCTAAATAGATGGTGCTGCTTTTACCTGTACATGAATACGCGGTTGCTGTCTCATGTAAAATGGGTGGACGCGATAATTTTGCAGCCGTCCAGGTAATACCGCATCTTCGTATGGAATTTGATCATACAGTGTTCCGTTAAATGGACACTGAGCTCCAACAATTTTCTTCGGTATTTCATTTTTTATTAGAAAGTTATCGATCGCTGTAGTCACGTCTTTTACGCATGTTGAAGGTAGCTAAAAAAGACCAATTATTATTATTTAGATTTCAAAGCGTACAACTTTGCTGTTGTACAAAAAATAAAAAGTAGCCATGTTACCGTAATAAATATCTCTGAATAATCGAGATATTCATTGTTTATATTCTTATAGTTTGTCAAATCTTGAGCAGCGTATACAAAATACGCGTCAAAGTAAGTGGATCGAAGTGAGTGCATGAATTCCCTAGATCGTTCCACCTCATTGCCTGAAGGCTGATCGCTAGGGCTAATGATCAAAACAACGGTATTCCGTGCAGCGGTAGCCCTGTCAGAAATTTCCTGCAATGTTTGATTTCGCAAATGCTGGTTCAGCCTCGATATCACATTTGGCAGATTGAGGCGATTTGGCCCTGGGAATAATAAAATTTGAAATAATAATTAATAAGGTTACTTTATTAATTGGGGATGTTTTTAAAACTGAATCATGCTTACACCCGTCTGTGAAATTGGCGATGTGGGAGAAAAGCGCTGTTACGTTGTTGGAAGCCGGCGCGATCCATTGGCCAGTGTTGCCATGTAAAAGGGCCACCGTGCTTCCTTGTGCGTCCATTTCCAGCGCACCACCGATCCATCTGCACAGAATAGAGAGTATTCGGAATTTGTCTTTTACCCGCGAGCTCGCCGGCGTCGCCTTTTAGAATGGAAACTATCCTGTATGATTATTCAGAGTGCAAACTATTTCAGTAATTAATATTTATAAAGGAACTCAAATGACACGACATCTATTCTATACTATTCGTATTACGATCGTTACGAGGCGAAATGTGATATTTTTCTATTGGTGCTAGAATAAGGATAATTTGGATATTAATCGGGGTTATTAATATCCAAATTATAATATCCAAAATATAATGGGTAATTATCATTCAGAGGTCACTATTACCAATCTCTAAAGTATAATGTAAATATTTAATGTATTGAACGTAAATAAAAGAACAAAATCATTCCAATAACTTGCGTGTATTCTTACGACATGAACTGCTCCACATCATAACGCTTCCAAGCACTGTCCGTGACCACAATTAAATCCATTTCAGGAACGTTATAACTTAATTGGCACCCGCGGTGATATCTTCTTAGCACGGATGCTAAAAATATAGCCTCTTGATAATTATGCTCATAGACGTAGGTTTATAAAATATAGTGACAAAATAAGAACTACACAGTTTTAAGTTACATCTTATGTGCAGCTTGCTCAATTTCTTATCGACCACCGGACCGACAATGAATAATAGTCATGTATATGAATATTTATACAGTTATACCATCACTAGATGTCGCATCAAGTTAATATTAATATGTTCAACGGTTCGCACAAATTGTTCAAACAGAACTTACGAACGTACTCCATGAAAGCGTCGACCGCAGCATGGGTCATCCGCTGCATTTCTTCTAACGGTATGTACACAGTGATTTGTGTCAGTGACAATATATGTGCGAATCGCAAGGTCTCTGTAGCTAATACGGATCTGTTGACAACGTTAGTGTATAAAGCGAGTCTATTGCATGCGCGCACAGTGGGGTCGAAGGATACACCTTCGTTGGAATAGTACATTTCAATGACCTGAGATGATCTCAATGATCTGCGCTGTTCTATCCACGAGGACATGTAGCTGGCAAGTATTAACCCTAAAAGACAAATAATACGGATTATGTTTTAATCAATATTCAACCATACATTCAACAGTCGATTATCCGGCCCTCAGCTATACGGGTTCGCGATTATCAGACATTAACAGAGTGTGATTATGTGAGTTTACTATACACAAAAGAAATTTAAGAGGGCATTCATCCGAATGCATAACGACTGAAATTAATCAAGTATGTGGAGTTTCCATTTTGAGATATTTGACTTTAAATGAATGTTGTTCAGAATCCTAAGCGACAGAACTAATATCAGTAGGGTACTTAGCACAAAGACTTAGCATTAATTGCGAAAAAACGTAAATGAAAATGTAAGAAACATATATTTTTTACTAGCTGACTCGGCAAACGTTGTTTTGCCATATAAATTATTTCTAGGGAATTTGGAAGTGTTTGACAGACATAGTTGACAGGTTGACAGGTACAGTTTGTATGGGAAGATAAAATTGTTGTTATTTCGATTTTCTATACAATTTTTCCATATTTTCTCAAAGTTTAAACCTTCCCTGGACTGCCACAAATATTTCAAAACCAAAATTAGCCAAATCGGTCCAGCCGTTCGCGAGTTTTAGCGAGACTAACGAACAGCAATCCATTTTTATATATAAGAAAGAAGATTACGATTATAAATATTGTGTTTAAAATATATATGCCCAAAATACCATCAATTCCCGCTAAAATTTCGGCGTCCGTAAAATGCCAATCTATAATATTGCTATTCTGTGGCAAGAGGTAAAATTGGCGCGGTAAAAGAGTGTCGTTCCATCTATTGTTGCTGCCTATCATCATACGTTGCGATGATGCACCAACTCGAGGTCCTTGATTCACTACTACCTCTGCCAAGTCCCCTGAAAATTTTTAACAGAAATATTTATTTTGTTATCGGGAATAAAATTTTATTATTATATTTACTCATTTCTTATTTTAGGAAACTGCTTTGCTTTTTCTTACATTGATATTATTATTTACGTTTCCTTACTAAACGTAGGTTATGCTGCTTATATGTTTAGTATATGGGAATTAAACTCGGGGTACCCAAGCCAATAATTTGGAATTCCCGTTTTTATTATAGGACCAAGCAACAGTTCGCTGTTGCACAAATGCGCAAAACGCTGGCAGGTCTGTCCAGGGAAGTACCACCACCTCACAGAAGATCGGCGTGAATTGGAAGTGTAATACTTCTACTTTTCGTCTGGTGAGTGATTTAGCAGAGGCGCAGTTTATTAAGGGGTGGCAACGCTGAACGCATCTGCAAACCTACGGGTGTTGCAAATATTTATGGGCGGCAGTTATCACTTAACATCAGGTGAACCGCTATCTCGCTTGCCATCTTCTTACATAAAAACGACGCTTAGGTACTCACTCTTACATCGATCAATAATTTAATGTTATTTAACGTGTTTACTTTGTGGCTATTGTATGTTATCATCTAGTTGCTATTATTACTACGTACCGACGAGAGTCGCTACTAGTACGTTGCTGATGTCCTGGTCATCGCCTAATGATGTTAACCTTTCTACATTCGTACTGCTGCCAACGGTATTTATTTCTGGAAATTTTCGTTTCCAGTCTTCCATGGCTTGTTCGATCAAAGGCTGCGATACTTCGGATTTAAAAACTTTGGCACTAAATATTTCGGCGATTGACACTCGTTGCGATTCCAACGCGGATGCTATCGCGGCCACAACCGTTCCCGGCGCAATTGGTCCCCAGTCCGTTTGGACTACTCCCTCCTCTATTGGGCATCTGCTGTAAATTCTAAAATAAATGTATAAATCCTAAGTTGGTTACAATGAACTCTACATATTGAAAAACTAGAACAAAATATACTCATAATATAGCATACACATTTAAGTTGGCTAATCAGAATTGCACTTTACGTAATTGTTGTTTCAGACAAACAAATTAAATGCAAAGGTATTTTTTTATATGTCTATATCCTTTAGTGCTAAAAATTATATTGATCATAATAGCCTGTAGATAAAAATTAATGTAAAAACTTCTTGTTATGAAAACTAAGGAATGGTGGCAAGAAATTAAGGAGGATTTTTTTTCCGACTTGGAATTATTTCAATAGTCAATACATAATTATAGCTTTCTACAGTCAATAAACATTACTAATGTGACAAAGGTTATATGACATCTTGTTCGCCAAATAGACAAAGAATTTATTACTGGATTGATTTACAAGACAACGTGTGAAACCGTACCTGCTAGAGCTATTCGTTAGCATATTCTGCCGTTGTTCTGTAGACACAGGACATGTAAGGTTCTCATCACCTCTCTCCCAAGGTTGAACCGTCGAACTGAGCAGTTTATGTATTAAACATCTCTCCACTAGTGCGAGATCTTCAACCATTTCTAAAAGATTCTGGCTTGGCAGAAACAGATCCATAAGAAGTTTATACTTGTGAAATTGGAAGGCAGATGCCCTGTATGGCAGTAAAAATTCGGTTTCGACAGGATTTGACGCTTGCTCTATACCATCCAGTCGGAATCTAGATAGTAAATTTAACAATATCACTGTCCGTTTTAAACTCATTTTAATTTTATAATAACACACATGTATATTACATTAAATAATATGTAACCGTAAATGGAAATCACAAAATATTGATACTTATGACTTATAACATAAAAGGACGATGGATGGTGGACTTGGTTGCTAACTACTATAAACAGCTAATAAAAACTCACCGTCTTAATAAAGAGGCGCTAAACATCCTCATGTCAAGTCGTGCTGAAAGTTCGAGGCGTCGCAATAGGGACAAAAAGATATCGAGACGACGCGGTGCATTCAAAAGGGGACCCGAATTCCGGTAACACGCAACCAGGTGCGTTGGTACTCTTGATAAGATTTCACCTTTAACAGCTGAAGAATATATTTATATTAAAATTATCATTAATCCGTAATAGTAGCAGTTTGTATTTCTTTTACTGATTTTAAAAATATTTTAGTAGTCTAAAGTAACAGCCTATATACCTATGAATATAATTATGTTTATCCCATTGCTGGGCGAAGGCCTTCTCTGTATAGAGGATATTTAGGGCACAGTCCGTCAATGATCCTGATCCCACTGTGGATTGGTAAACTTCACATATCTTCAAATATTCTTATATAATTATTTAAAAAATATACGATGAATTCCTCCCGATGTTTTCCTTCATCGATGAGCACATAATTAATCATTACTTAAAATTGGAATTAAGGTTTTCATTGGTATGCTGGCATCGGTATTTTAAGTCAAGTTGTTCAAGTATATTGAATTTAAAGCTAAGTAGCGGCCGGATTAGGTATCAGATCTATCACGACTCAAAAATAGTGTAGTGAGTAATTACGGTAATCAAGAACTATATTTCAAATTCACGTAGGTACTAAGATCGTGACAAATTCCAATGAATACCTATTAATTATTTGCTGTGAAAATTTAATTATATCTTTAACATTTAATACTCGGCAATGCATTACAGACCTCAAATCGCTTCTTTAATGTTGGTTAATTAGCAATCAGAGCCAAAAGCTGTTCTTTTTAAGAAAAATAAGTATAATTACTTAGCACGATGGTAGTATCGAATAGCCGCACTACACTTAATTCTCAAATTCCAGTATGTTCACCATTGCCTTACCGACACATAAATTACTGTAATTGCAGTGCATTTGATTATGGAGTCGTAAAATTCTTGTAGTATTATGATTGACTAATTAAGATTTTTCATTACGATTTCACGTGTCCAATAGAAACTGCACTGAAACAATCCGAGGGGGATTGTTGAATCACACCGACAACAAGAGGAAAGATCTCCCAAGCTATCCATAATGCTGTCATTAAAACATGAGGAAATAGTTTTATTTCATATAAATACTCACAATGAACCATTAAAGTAAACAACAAAATTTTCTTCATCATTGTTTAAACTTAATCTAGGACTTTATTCAACAAGAGAACAGTTGAAACAACACAGTGTGTAGTGTGGCACAAAAGGGAGTGCCTAGTTGGGAGATAAGATAATGAATCATTGTGTAAGTAGAACATTTATATATTATCGTGATTTTTTTGTTATGTTGGTCTTATGGCGAGCGATCATTTATTAGCGGCGGCATAAAATATACTTTACATCATATCTTTACGTTATTCATATTACATATTGTCATTTCTGTCTTTTACATCGGTAGCTTGTTAAGTTCGTTCAAAGTACAGAGAGTTATGAAATATAATGGTATTAGAAATAAAAATCCAGTGTATTTTTATGTCAAATATATTACTTTCTACAGCCTAGAGCGGCAGATTTTAGGGGGCGGCAAATATGGCCCAAAATTTTTGTCTTACAGAAACTTTTTAAGTATTTTTATAGTAATCAGTATATAATATAAATATTACAGTATATAATAAATATTTTTCATTTTCATTTTTTAAATTTTTACCAATTTTATAATTAGAACATGATTGACTTTTTTCATCTTCATTTTCATCGGAAATATACTTAAAACTATTTTTCGTGCAATCTTCACTCAATAGTGGGTTATAAAAAAATCTAGACACTGACAACGAAACCCTAGTTCAAAATCATTCTTATAACAAGAAACATGGCCATGTGCGAATCGGACTCACACTCGAAGGGTCTCCGTACCATTATCTATAAAAACGGCAAAAAAATCATGGCTGTTGTATCGGAGCCCTACTTAAATATATATTTATTCTTTTTTTTCAGTATTTGTTTCTGTAGAGGCAACAGACATAAATCATTTGTCAAAATTTCAACTGTCTTACTATCATGGTTCTTGAGATACAGACTGGTGACAGACGGACAGACCAACAGACAGTCTTAGTAATAGGGTCCCGTTTTACCCTTTCGGTACGGAACCCTAAAAAAACTGATGTATTAAAGACGATAGAGCACAAATCGTAAAGTAGCAATTTTAAGAACTAGGGTATCGAATTTCAGACGTTAGTAGGGGCGGCAAAAACTGAACAGCCTATTGGCGGCATATTTGTAAATCCGCCACTGACTTTCTAGTTATTTCTTAAACACTATTTCTGATAAAATAAGTCAACAACTTCAAAGGCAATTTTCACACGTTTTTTCTACAAAACAGGTATTTATAGAAGGTATTTTTCTATTTTTGCTTTACAGTATCTATAACTTTATTTCTACATTATTCAAATAGATACAAAAAAGTATAAGATTTATACTTTTTGTATATTTCAATTTAAAAATTTAGTTTAGATAATCATTAATATCATGAAAGTATGAGCCATTGACACTGCTAACAATATATTTGATATTACCATTTTACTCTAGAAAATATACATTGAAACATTTACATCTAAATAAGACTGTTTTATTTCAATAATTCATAACTTACTAACATAACTAAATATTAATTGGAAAAAATCAATAACCGATAATGGGATTATTTCTTTCGAAAACCATACCAGTCCATAAAATAATTCTGACATATCGGTTCTTATAGTTATCAGTTTTATATATAAGCTAATTACAACCTAAAGTAAAAAATACATTCTTGAATAAATAAAAAACAAATAAAATTAATTGTATGCCACATTTTTTTTGTGAAAGTTATATGTTCTTAACACATGAAAAACAGAGACCAACAAAAATAAAATGCAATGCAATAAATACTAAAAAAATAAAATGCATTTCTGTGACTATACAATAATATTTCAATATCTCGGATTGAAAGATTACATGTTTATCGTAAAACTAATTTTGCAGGTTTTCCATTAATCTGTCTTGACGAACCATTTTTAAGTGTAAATTCTCTCTTTATATAGGCAAACAATAAATCTGTTATTAGGAAGATTTGTGCAGTTGCAAATGATAAAGTTACACCAAAGAAAAAGTTAGCATTTGCTGATCCAGAATAAATCCATAAGTGCCATACAGTTGGACCTAGGGCTGATGTAATGATAAAAGCACATCCCACTATAAACTTCTGCTGCATAACTGTAAATAAAATTAAGTTTTCAATTTGCAAAAAATTTGACAATTTTTTTTAGTTTGCATCTTCATACATATAAATAATTGTTATTAAATTTATTACTACATACATGCAAACAAATGTTTCCACATCGGCAACAGTGACAGATAAAATCCAACATCACCAACACAAGGATATGATCTAAAAATAGCAGATAATGCTATTAAGACAGTCGCGAGGAGAACAGGTTCCTTATTAAACTTCAGTGTGAGAGGGACAATGTAAAGAGCTAAAGCATTTATCTGGAATGCACATACAAACAGAAGTCTGAAGTGTTCAAACATTTCAGTAAAGAAATACCAAAACAAGCCAATGTTAGGCTTTAAGTCTGGCACAGACAATCTGAAAAGAGAAAAAAATATATTAATGACATTCTCTAAATACAGGGTGTCGTTACAACCGCGACAATAAATGAACACACATATAGAGGATAATTTTTTAAAATTGTATTAAACATTTACATTCTTCAAACATCAATATTTACAGAGTTATTAAATTTTCCAAAACAAACAATTTTAGAACACCCTTCACATATAAAACTGTAACGTAAAGTTCATTTGTAAAGGTCACAAAGCATATGAATGAATTTAAAAGAGACAAAACATACTGTAAGAAGGAGAGGCGTGTAATGCGACGCTGTGGTGCGAGTTGTATAGGATGTTACAAATTTTGTTTCTTTTTTAATTAATTAGTTTGTTTGAAAAATATTTTTTTTTATTATGGATTTTGTTTAACGTCAATATTTTTTTATAATTATTGGCATGTAGCGTTAGACGTGTGTTCATTTATTGTCGCGATGGTAACGACACGCTGTATATTGTCATATATATCAATGTAACCATTTTTATCTCCTAAACAAAATAAAGTTAAAACTTTTACAGTCCCGGAGCCTTGAGATATTATTCTATGCCAGCTGTATGTTGCATGCTTGCTTGGATGTCTATGCTCACCATGTGGCCTCAAACATCTAACTCACACCAACTCATTGACATAAAAAAATGCATCATTTAGTCCATTCATTTAGAAGTTAATATGTCACAAACAGACACACGATTTAATGTTGGGGTTAAAAAAAAGAGTATAAATATTATATGATATGAAATACAATATAGGTAATATAATGCTAATAAGTCTGGGGGAAATATAACTTACATAAATCCATAAGTATTGTAGACATATTTATATGATCCATCCATAATAAATGCTGAAATAAATATAGAGAATCCCCAACAAAGTACAAAAACTAATAAAGTTCTAATGTATGAACATTTATTACATCCATTATTGATGTCTGCTAATAATATAGAAATAGGAACTATGAGCAGAACAGGATACAATGCCTGATGTGTAGCGAGCGCTATGAAAGCACATGCCACTATTCTTTGACCACTTGTAGCACCCCATAATGAGGCTGCGACTAAGAAATTTTGAATTACTGTAGTTGTCATACCAACACAGTTCAAAACGGAGTATGGGTTGAATAGATATACTGATAGGACATACTCAGGTGCTTCATTTAATTGGGATTCACTCAACAGCATTGATTTAGAATCCTCATTTATATCACCTTTATTTTTATCCTGAGAAGTCTTAAACATCCTTGAAAATGATTTCGCAGTTTGGTATAATAGGAAACCAGTTGTCAAGTCAAAAATTGTAAAGAGAAGAGGCATAATGAATGGAATGTTCTTCATAAAGAAGTGGAAGAAGAGCAGCATCAGTGGCGATTCGTGAAATGAATCACCTTCATATGGATTTATATCATTGTCGTAGAGGTAAACACCTTCAATTAACCTTTTCCAAGAGTTTAAGGGAGTTGCTATTTCCACTCTGTTAGCAATTGTTTGCCAATAATCTATGTGAATGAGCCAGTATCTCACTGCACCAGCAAGTAAAAACTTAACTGTAATAGCCATTTGTTGTTTTTCTATGAGAAATATCACAGAAACATTATTTATTTTAGAAACAAAATCTCCATCCTAAATTAAATCTGTAATCTGTACTTATTGAAGATTTTACATTAACGAAAACTTTGTTTGATTAAATTGAAAAAACAACGATAATAGTTATGGTAAAAAAGGTAACTTCTTTATTTTAAATATTTTATGAATTTTGGTATTCGTGCATAACCTAAAACAAGTTTACCAAATACCAATACAAACTGTCAAGTGTCAATTATCATTTTTTTTTAAATATTATTGGTTAAATGCATAGACAACATTACACAAATAAATAATTACTTTAAAAAAGTTTTAAGTTAAACGGTTTTATTTTATGTTTTTTTTTTGTTAAATTTTTTTTTTGTTAATATTGTATTGTCATCTAAATTAAATGTGTGTACCAAATTTCAGATCAATCTGACAACGGCAAGGTGCTTAAATTTCAATTTCTAATTTTGACCCAAATAAATTCCGTACGGGTCGAGCTAAATAAAACCGTTTAAAAATATTTTTTTTTCATGCGTTGTTTGCTGTAATATTGATGGCTTTGAAAGTTTTATCGAAAGAAGTATATAAGGGTATATGGACCTATGACTTAAGAGAAACAAGTCCCCTCCGATAAGGTCGGCCGTGCCTTGGTCCGCTATAGTGAAGCCAAGAGACACTATGATAGATGGTGAAGGCACTAGCTGATTACAATATTCCACCCACCGATTTTGCCTCATCACGGAGGATAGTGAGAGTGGCGACATGCAATATCAAAAATTCTTTTCCCCCGCGACTCCACCTGGTTGCGGGCGACAGGGACAGTTACTTGAGACAACCATATTCTTCGATCTGTCCTCTGTAACCTCGCTGTATTTGGCACACTTCCGCTTTTGGTTTTTGTTGCGTGTCGTGTAGATACATACAATAGACTATACTGTGTGTAAAGCTTAATTATCACTGCCATTTATACGATAATATTTTTGAATTATTTGAAATATTTGCCCGGCTGTTACATAAGGCGTCACTCGTAGTATACACCGCATAGTAGTGAATGTTGCAAATATGCAACGAATTATTGATAAGGAGAAAGCACTCGCTAGAGGCCTTATGGGAGTTCAGCTTCAGAGCAGGCACCGTCAATAACAACCTTGGTTCTCCGTTGTGAGAAGTGAGAAAACAAGAGATCCATCTACAAAAGTTCACATGAAGTGATCTTAGAAACAAGTGCTTCATGCCAAACCTGATCGAAGGCTTTTGCTACGTTCAAACTAACTGCAAGGCCTGAAGGACCCCGGCGGAAACCATATTACTACAGATCGCTAATTAACACGTGTAGTACTTTTTAGAAGTGAAAACTTCTTTAGGCACGTTGAGTACTTCTTTGTGAGTATTGGATGAGACTGAGGTATGGCTTACTCTCATTTTGTTTGTTTGTTTGGCTGTGTATTTTTGCCGCTCCTACTGATCTCTAAAATTCCATACCCTAGTTCTCAATCATGTTAATTACATTTATTCTGTCCTTTGATGATACGTATACAGCGTATCTTTGCAACCGCGACAATAAATGAACACGTATATAGAAGATAACTTTTTAAAATTGTATTAAACATTTACATTCTTTAAACACCAAGTTATTAAATTTTACAAAACAAACATTTTTAGAACATCCTTACGTATAAAACTGTAACTTAAAGTTCATTTGTGAAGGTCACAAAGCATATGAATGGGTTGAATGAATTTAAAAGAGATAAAACATACTGTTAGAAGGAGAGACTTGTAACGCGACGCTGTGGCAACGAATGAAAAAGTCTCTGAATGTATGAATCAGACAGTTGTATCTGTATAGGATATTACAAATTTTGTTTCTTTTTTATTTAATTAATTTGTTCAAAAATTATTATTTTTTTAGTTATCGATTTTTTTTATTTTGTATTTTTTTATAGGTATTGGCAAGTAGCGTTAGACGTGTGTTCATTTATTGTCGTGGTTGTACCGACACGCTGTATAATCAAAGATTCCGTCAATAAAATTGCAACTTTTTGATTTTTGCTGTTTCGTCTTCTTTCGTTTTTGCTCGTTATTGGAATAATTTTGAAATAGGTTTTCGTTGTGTCAGTTTGTAAATTATTTTTAAAATCCAGGATTTAGTGAGGTTTATACGAAAAATATTTGTTAGGTATATTTCTGAACTAAAAAATCTCAATCATGTTATAATTTGACGGTGTAAGGTACATATGCTTTAAAATACTTATACAAATATATGAACACAGGTAACACAAAATAATGTATACGTTTACTAAACTTTTTTTTTATTACACTTACAGTTTAAAAATAACACGAACAGTGTCTTTATTAAATTTTGTGTTAACAATCCGGTTAATAATGACAACAAAATTAATCAAGTTATGAAAGTCTTATGTTACGTAAAATTTTCAAGACTCCCTTGTGCATATAATAAATGTGTATATAATGATGTTTTTCTGTAAGACAAACATTTTTGGGCTGAATAACTTATAGCTTATTTGCACCGACTGAAACTCCACGATTTTCCACCGAATCTGACTCCGGGTATCTCCCCCACCAGACGACCACGAAAGTATTATACCTCCACTTCACTTTCAGAAAATGAATCTAATTAAATACGAGTGCTTTGCAAACCTACCATGTTAGTCCGTCGAGTGTTATATCAGAGTTTTACATATCCTTTCTGTCTCACTTTATGATTAATGAGCCATAAATAAATACTGTAGGTACCTAGTAATTACTTATCCCCTGCGACTGGATGCGTGCTGGAGGGTGCAAGGGACAGGTCAAGGGTGGTAAAGGAGCCACTCTCCCTGTCTTCTGCTACCGAGGAAGAGTCGCGCGGGAGAGGAGTGTCGGTATTACGATGCGCCGTTCTCCCTACCCTCCGCGGCCGAAACGTGGTGAGTGGCGGAGCCACAGACCAGGTCCGCCGCTGGGGGCTGGGAGGCTTGCTGCTTATTGGCACTGGCTCTCCTGGCTCCCACGTTCTCTAGTCAGCGAACGCGGGGAAAGTTCGTTGGCCGTGAAAAAGGGGCGTAAGTAGTGAAGAAGGCGAAGTAGTAACGGCGAAGTAGGAAGGCGCCCTGAATGTTCTAGCGCGCCTTATCTGGAGGAGAGGGGAGTTGATCCCCGGGAGGGGGCTGCTAAGGCAGCCAGCGCTGGCAGGGTAGCGGCAGTGTGCGAAAGCGTTCCCGTTGCCCTGTCAATATGCGACTAGGTGAAACATCGTGGGGGTTTTAGTCGGTGCGAGTACGACATAACCCGCTCTTGCCCCGGCGAGGGCGGGTATGCGTAAGCATTTCCCCACGTAAACAAAAAAAGGTAGTAATTACTCATAATTCGTAGATTTGGTCAGTTCTTTATTTTAAAATCTTTTACTTATGATAGCCTTAGTTAGATTATGCTCATGATTTTTTCTTGGCACGTTAAGGTTAATGGCATCGTTGATTAGGGATGTTAATAACTATTGGCTTAATACGGCCCCTCCCAACGTGACGAGCCGTATCAAGTTCGAGGGATGGCTATTCTACGAGCTCTGCATTTGATGAAGCTTTAATCGTCTAATGATGAAAGTAAAAATGTAAAGGGAAGAACCTTACCGTAAAAAAGGTGCAGTTTTATATATTTCCAAGATTTTTTATTTGGAAGAAACTAAAAATCATAACACGACAAATAAAACATGAAAAAAAGACATTTTGTATTTTATTTTTATTTGTACTTTGTATACTTATTACATAATAAAAATAAACCAACCCAAATAAACAATTTTACATTTCAATTACATATAATTATATCAACTTAAATAATTATGGCTCATATGTACTTTCCTCAGATACTCGTAATTACTTACAAGGAATATTTTTTTTATACGAACAATTTTATATGTATTTATAATACCATATCGATAACATAAGAATTAACGACATAAAAACAAAGAACTGACCAAAGAAACTTAAAAAATATTTAAATATTTGTATTTATGAAGATTTACTTTGCACTTAGTGAAACTTAGTGAAAAATATATATGACTAAATTGATGTCCTGTTAGGTTGTATTGGCTTCGTCAATCCTAGCGTCATAATTAGTACAAAAATCAAAAGTGCGCCATCCAGTCTTAGCTCAAAACTAAATGCCAGAACAAAATTCCATACACCCTTAACCTACTATCACAAACCATTTCATCAACTCCTGTGCCACTGACACAATATTAACATAAGAAACAACTGTAGACGTAAAAGTGCATTACGATTTGACAGGGAACAATTGATTGTATGGTACTTTCAGGAAGATTTTGTTAGCGATACGTGTTCCGATCTTGTTCCAGTTACTTTGAGCAAATGGTAGCAGCTCGCGATACAAAAGTCTCCAATTTTCGTTTGTAATTCGAATTCCCAGGTCAGCTGAAACATTATTGCAGAATGTAAGTAAGAAAACATTAAAATGTTAAGTAACACCTTTCATGAAAATAAAAATAGTAATTACTTAGTTCTTTGCTATCGGGATTTTCATTAGTCAAATGTGTGACCATGTTGCCAACGTCGGGTCGCATGTAGAAAGAAGTAATTTTTACATAGGTTTCGCCGTCAACTTTTTCAGGAGTTCCCTCTAGTTTCCAAGTATATGTTAAGTCACCTGTACAGAATAAGTTACTGAGTTTAATATACATCATATCCCTAAATTAATGTTTATAGCATATTTTTCTTTTTAAAGGTATCTTACATAAGATATTATTATATTACTTGTTTTACGTTGCTTTTATTGTTTCATCTAATAAAACAGGATATATATATGGATTTGATGACATGAATTTAAAAGCATTGATAGTCGTTAAAATATAATAGATCGACGTTCAAAGATTTATATTGAAACGGCTATAATAAAATTGTGCTCACAATGAAATCTTTAGATTAATTGTTATATATGACATAATTATAAAGTAAAAGTGATAAATGACAAAGAACGTAAATGATATGACACGGAAAGAGCTTTTATTATACAGTGTGTGGTTACCATCGTGACAATAAATGAACTCACGTCTAACGCTACTTGCCAATAATCATAAAAATATATTAACGTTAAACAAAATCCATAATTAAAAAAAAATATTTTTCAAACAAAGTAATTACGTAAATAAGAAACAAAATTTGTAACATCCTATACAACTCGCGCCACAGCGTCGCATTACAAGTCTCTCCTTCTTACAGTATGTTTTGTCTCTTCTAAATTCATTCAACCCATTCATATGCTTTGTGAACTTTACAAATGAACTTTACTTTACAGTTTTATACGTAAGGGTGTTCTAAAATTGTTTGTTTTGGAAAATTTAATAACTCGGTAAATATTGATGTTTGAAGAATGTACATGTTTAATACAATTTTAAAAAGTTATCCTCTATATGTGTGTTCATTTATTGTCGCGGTGGTAACGACACGCTGTATACTGTCTTGTCAAGTCTTGACAATAATCAAAGGGAAAGAGATAACAGTCTATAGAATTGCAATCTAATTAACCAATTGTCGTAATTTTAGTTTCGGTGCGTATCATATCAGGTACCTTGTGTTTGTATATAATACCATTGATAAAAAAAGTTTAAGTGGAACGGATCTGCTAAAGATGGTTATCAATGCAAAGTTGTCATTCGTCATTGTATATGCCATTTGTATAATTCCTTGATTTAATATAAGTACGTCTCGATTCCTAGTCCGGTATGTCAACGCGTCAAGGTTTCAAATGCAGGAAAATGTATGTAGGTATGTACTTGCAGGAAATCGCCGCCAGTACGTTTTGCGCACGATAGAATTTCTGCACGTTCTGTGCAGTTGTCTTGCAAAAACCACTCACAAAAAAATCATGGGTAAGTATTTTGTATTCCACTTTGTATAAGTGACATCAATTCAATTTAATAAAAATAATTTATCCATAAATGTGAGACACGCCATCTGTCTACATATAAAAATCTAATATATAAAATTCTCGTGTCACGGTGTTTGTAATTGAACTCCTCCGAAAACGACTCGACCGATTTTCGTGAAATTTTGTGTGCATATCGGCCAGGGTGGAGAATCGGACAACATCTATTTTTCATCCCCCTAAATGTTAAGGGAGGTCCACCCCAAACATTTTTTCTACCTTACAAATAATTTATATGGCAAAATAACGTTTTCCGGGACAGCTAGTAATATATAAATATACAATAAAAGCATATATATGTAATATTGAATTAATATCGGTATTTTTTGATGGAAACGATTAAGTACAATTACATATTATTAAAACACACGGTGGAAAATGTACCCATGTATTTTAAATTAGATAAGAAATATTTATTCACTTCATCATATCCCTAAATTAAATAACATTCATATAGGTTCCGAAAAGTCTCATTTATTAATAACTACTTTTAGAAACATATTAAGAGCCGTGATAGCTCATTGTTTGGGCGATCGCTTTTCATTCAATAAACCTACTCTAGCAACCTGAATTCAAATCCCGATGTTGTTGTTTATGTTGTAAATGTTGTAAACGTTATTGTTGTAAATGTTTCCGAAATAATATTAAAAAAAAACTATTTAGAAAATAGTTGAAGTCCGCCAATCCGCAATGGGGTCGCGTGGTAGACTTTGCCCTGATACCCTCTTTACAGAGGGTATCAGGGCATAGTCTTTCTTTATAGACATGTATATTCTGATACTTTACTTTACTTTTACTTTTAACTTAGAAACAAAACTAACTAATGGTGTAAAGAAAAATTTCTATCAAATTGCATAGGTTGGCCTGTGCGGAATTCATTGGATGGATTCTTTCTGACACGTGAAGAAGTTCCACTGGCCTTATAGGTTTTTTTTGAATAAAATAAATAACTACCTACTGTCAAGAGCACATCACATTTACACATGCTAACCTATTCAAAGACAGTTTGTAAGTATATACATAATTTGTATATGTAAGTAGGTAAACTGAATTAGTTGAATATAATAAAAGTGAGAAGTCGTTTTAATGAATGTAAGCGTCTTCCAGTGCCGACGACTGTATCTGGGAATAATTTAAGGCTTTATTCTGGAAGAAGAAGATCGAAATTCGGGCTATTATTCCAGAGAATTGTGTGCAAAAAGACGATCGAAACGTGGCCTAACTAGAAACCTTAGTGCCTTCTAGAACGTTTTAAATAAGAAGACAATCGAAATTCGATCATTCCTACAATAGGCGGCCAGAGTGCGCTATGATAGTTTAGTCGAAGAACTGCAAGTAGTAGGAAAAGGAGGAATGATAAGAAAATAAAAGGTGAATAATTAAGTGAACAGTGAAAAGTGTTAATAAAATTGAGAAGAGGTCAAGAAGTGTAGGTACGTGGAGAGTTGGTGCGACAGAAAGAGGCCGCCGCACTGCAACCTTAGCTCGTAACACTATTTTGTTATTGACAAGGTAGAAACATTTTTCTGTAAACGCTAAAATTACTAACTTATGGTTGTGTTGAAATCCCCAGTGGCGTTTATGCGTAATGCGTTGAAACTGCCTCCCCCGCTATAGCGTCCCTTGCAAAATATTTGCGAGGTAAACATATCTATTTCCAGAAGGAAGCTCTCATCTTCAGCGCGCAATCTGTTAATTTTACAAACATAAAATCCATAGCTTTGTGTACCTTGTATTAGAGATAAATCTGTATGCCAACACTTGTTATATGTACATATAAACATGTAACATATATTACTTGATTTGCTCACTTGATTAGAGTAGCATGAAATGGAATTCTTTTAACAAGTAGGTAACATATGAATGCAAAAAAATATCATACCTATTCCTGTGACTTCCCTCACTTGGACCACTTGGAAATGATTTTAGATACTAATTCAATTGTAAATTTGATTCATTGTTTTTATATCTATCCAATTTCTACATACCTTACATCTTTCACTGTAGATTCTGTTACGCCTTCTACGTAAATTTCGCTTACAATCATTTTAACTGTTATCTGAAAAACAATGGATTGTTAAAACAGCGAGCTATTCTTGTCATTTCTTTTTTTCTACGGTATATTTAAACTTACACCTAGTTGTGTTAAGTCTTATTTTAATAGCTTACAACTTAAGGACATTAAATGTTTAGTCAAATTTACGTAGAAATTGCATTAATCTAAAATGTATCTACGAAAATTGTTTAAAAATAGTCTGGCTGGCGAAATTTCTTATATTTTGAAGGGACACCTTCAAGATTTGGTCTTCATATTAAGAAAAGTTTCAGGCATATAGGCATATAGGTCATTAGGAACGGGCCGTTAGACTATACACCCTCATCTTGATGATCTGTGAGCACTGCACGATCTTCATTGGCTACAGTTTTACAAATCTGCGTTGCAACGCTGTCTTATAACTTAAGGCCCATTTACATGGTGCCAGTTTCTTGCCTGTTGTATAAAATTAAATTGAAGCAATAAATGAGTTGCATGGTCTAAACAACAAATGGTCTAAACAATTATTGCGCGCAATTTATTGCATTCAATTATTGCTCTTGTATGTACAAGAAAATGGCATCGTGTAAATGGGCCTTCAGGGTTTTGCGCATGGGCAACGCATGGCGCGCAAACCCCTAAGTTTGCTGCAACCGAGGGGTCCCCGGTGCGACAAATTTAACACGTGGCTTTAATCCACGTTAATTATTTATTCATAACAAATATAACTCACAAATTACCATATACTTACTCCGAAGATGTGAACGAAAACAACATGGAGTGTATTATAACGTAATACAATGATTTTTTTTTATTTTATTATTTGTATATTATAACATTCGTCACAGAACGCAGCGCTAATTATAATTTTGGTGAGTTGCAAAATCTGTATTTTAGCGTTTTTTGCAGAGTAGTTAATTCAAATTCAAAATATCTTTATTCAGATAGACGCGTGCGCGTTTTATGAAACCTTCAAATCTTAAATAAGAATTAATACGTTCGTAAGTTAACACCGGTTTGGAAAGCAGTTTCTGTTGAGAAGAAACCGGCAAGAAACTCAACAGTTATTCTTTTTTAAAATGATTAATTTACAATATAATAATATAGGTATAAACCTTATTTTAGCCTACGTGAGTATGTACAGTACTCCACACATTGGCGTCAAGATATTCCGCAAGGGTATAATATGCCTTAGCTATTTAAGTCTACTTTTTTTCGTTTAAATTGATCTGCCACTGGATCTTATATCGACTGTGGGATTTTATTATACACGCGCACACTTTGCCCCATAAACGACCTTTTTACTTTTTGTAGACGAAACAATGGCATAGTTAGTTTGTCCTTATTTCTAGTATTTAATTTATGTAAGTATATCACTATTCAGTATTTAATAATAAAGATCATGTCTAACATACAAAATATTACAATATATGATATAGTTATCTTATTCTATCTTATATAATGCGTAATAATAACTTAACACATTTTATTATCAGAATAAAATTCAAGGCAATAAAATTCAAGTTCAACATTTTTGTATATAACAATATACACATTTTTATTTAATAGTAATTCTTTTTTTTAAATAAAATAAAAGAAGAAAATTGATGTGACAAAAAATTTAATACATTAAATACTAAATCTCAACTTTATCATGGTGCCAAGAAAGCTAGCTACATTTCCTCGCTGAATATTTAACCTTTGATCAAGAAGAGGATCGTTGGAAGGAACGTAAACTTGTCAAAAATTTCGGGGTCACGGATTCAATAGCCGTATACTGTTTGCACAAATACATAACCTATTATAATACATAACCTGAACAACGATTATGGAATGATATTTGCGTCGCTTAATTCAGCTGTGATACCGCCCCGGCCATGACCGAAGTCCCTTAGATGAGAGGCAAAGTGTCTTTTTAATAAAACTGGCGTACTGATTATACCGCGGTTATTTCGAGCGCTACACAGTATTCATCGTCACAGGCCCGTGACCAACACAGTGTTTAAATAAAAAAAAATGTTAAAAAAATGAACAGTGAAAGTAAAATCCGTTAGCTATTTTTATTGAAGTGTTTGTTTTTTACTTTAAAACCACCTTAATTTTGTTTAAAGACACTGACACGGAAATAAAAATAGAAATAAGTTATAGAGAATAAGTACTTCATTTTGTGGCAGAATGATTCCAATTCGATAGTTGCCACATTAGTATGACTAAGTGATTTTCGTTGGGTTTGACTTTATATCTTTTTATATATCTAATATTATTATTTTAGTTAAAATGTTACTCTTTTAGTCTGAATAACGTTCAATACGTTTATTGTTCATGAACATAATATGTATAATAAATAATTGATATAAAAACTTACGTAAGTATATAACATTTCGTCTGTACCCATTTAAAATTTTATATTAGTGAGACAGTGATCACACGAGACAGTGTGATCTTTCAAAATGAAATAATTTTTCATGCAACAAACGTATAAACAAATGATTCTTATGGTGCTATAAAATGATTGAGAGAAAGAACACCATATCTTCATTATGTCCATTAAATAGTTACTATCTGCCTATCTTAATATAAGCATTTTTAATAGTAGTGTCTTAAAACAGAATTTTGGTGTCTAAATGTCTTCTGTCCGGTTCAACAAAGAGGATAAAAGGATGCATGTATATATTTATCTACTTTGTACAAGTTAAATAATCAGCTTCTCTGCCACACGTCTAACTTAAATTACTTAAGGCTATGCCATTGTTTCCATGTAAGGTCGATGTCAAGACAAAAGGAAACCATGAGAAAAGTAGAATTATGGGCCGGACATAGAGGCCAGTCATTATACGAGTATGTGTAAATTTCAACTTATTTGTGTTGAAATCTGCCTCTCGTTCAGTATTATTTCGTTTAATGTGAGGGAAATGCCTACGAATTGTACATGCACTTAAAGTTTCGAGCGGGTTATATTGAACTTATATTAACAAGCCCTAAGTTTCGCTGCATAACGAGAAAAAATGTTATTATTCACAAATATTTCTTGCGTAATGGACACTATAATATGGTTCACGTACTACTACGCCATCATTGGAACCGTTTCACCTTAATTTTTTATTTCAGCTTCATCATCATTTCAGCCTGTTTGAGTCCACTGCTGAACATAGGCTTCCCCCATAGACTGCCATGAAGTACGATCCTGAGCCACCTGCATCCATCGACTTCCCGCACATTTGCACAGGTCGTCACTCCATCTAGTGGGGGGTCGTCCTACACTGCGATGGCCAGTACGAGGCTGCCACTCGAGAACCTTTCTTCCCCAACGGTTATCGGTTCTACGAGCTATATGGCCGGCCCATCGCCACTTCAGCTTGCTAATCCTCTGAGCTATGTCAGTTATCTTAGTTCTACTGCGGATGTCTTCGTTACGAACTCTATCACGCAGAGAAATACCGAGTATAGCCCGCTCCATAGCTCGCTGAGCGACTTTGAGCTTCCTCATACGGCCAGCAGTGAAGGACCACGTCTCGGTTCCGTAGGTCATCACACATTGATTGAAGACTCTAGTCTTCAAACATTGAGGTATATTCGACGAGAAGATTTGCCGAATTTTAGTATTTTCCCGAACGCTGCCCATCCGAGTTGGATTCGCCGATTGACCTCTGCGTCGAAGTTGGACTTACCTAGCCGGACTAACTGTCCTAGGTAAACGTGATCGTCAACAACTTCGAGCTCAGTGCTCCCAACAACAACCGGTATAGGCGTGACATGGACATTAGACATGATCTTCGTCTTGTCCATGTTCATCTTAAGCCCCACCCGTTGGGAGACACTGTTAAGGTCATTATTTCAGCTTAATTTTTTGCTATTAAAACAATTTAAAAATACAATTCGTCAAATAAAAGCTCACACGTAATCATAATCCTAAAATAGTAACCCAAAAAGAATAGTTCATAACTTAACTGAACTTATTTTTGTTTATCCCAATGCCAGAACTGAAACTTGCGTACTTATTTACGGCCTCTCAATTCACAGTGCATTTAAGAACATAAAGCAATAATTAAAATAGAATTTGAACTCAATAAAAAAAAACTTAAGAATTTGACGAATAAACGTCGCAAATCGGCTACACATCCAATCAAAGTCGCAAATCGGCCACAATTGTCGTAACAAAAATTCTTTAATAAGGAGTTCAATGGAAGAGAACTTACAATCGGTTAATTACGCTGCAATGTTTTATCGTAGAGAACAATAAACGCGTCAACATGAAGTAAGTGTAATTGCGAATCAGGAAACCGTGCGAGAGGAAACGGCCCGTCATGCTGAACTATTATGATGGTGCACTAAGGCATCCGTTGTTACAATAAAAACCTGATCAAATCTTCTTAATTGTCCTAATTCGCGTACTGTTAACAATAAGAAATATTAAATTGCTCTTCAACAAGCAGGTTAACACAAAAAACGGAAGTGCCGTGATATGCGTATTAGCTTCAAGTATGTATATTTCACTTGACCATAGGCTCATTTTTTTTATGATTCAAAACTGGCCAGCACTCTACTGGCATCCCACCTGATGGTAAGTGGCGATGCAGCCGTTGATGGTAAGAGCGCTAGCTCAGTAAACCTATTCACTCTTGCTTTTAAAACGCCTAAGTTTTAATCGGATGGACGCCGGCAGGTTGTTCCATTCCTCAGCTTTAAGGATGATACATGACGAAGCGAATCGATCTGTTCTTGTGCGTGGAACGTCGACAGTATAAGGGTGGAGCACCGCCGAACGTCTAGTTGTCCGATTATGGAAAGTGGCGGGAGGAATTAGATAAAGCAAGTCCAACGCGTACTCTCAGTTTAGTTAAAAACTTGTAATAAAAGTTGTAAAAAATTACAGGCATTTTCAATTTGCTAGTCTTATAGGTAGATAATACGAAAATTATGTAAAAAAATCAATTAACTGCAAAATAGGTAATTTTTAAAAATCATTTATACACTCTTATAAATGGAATTTAATAGCAGTAACCATAAATTGTCCAAGTAAAACGGATCTTTATACATTTAAATTTTTATAGTCTTTATAGTACGATTATAATAGACAATCCTAAAAGTGAAATAACATAGTACCGAAAGTTACACACCTGATTGTTGTTGTATTCCAATTTTAATTCCTTTTGATAGAAAGGATCTATAGCTGGCACTCCTAAATCCTTAATTCCGCTTTTCATAGCCAGGAGACCCTTTCGCACTGCTTCCACCAGACATTCGTTTACTTCCGGAGAATTCCGATCACAAACGGGTAAGTATTGGCCTGAAACAAAGTTTACTATAATAGTACAATAATAGTCATCTGGCATGGTAATTCCAGATGACTATTGACCGAAAACCAGCTAGAAATGGCTGGTTTTCGGAATTCAAGCGCGCTTGTGTCAATCTCAGTTACGAATCTCGCGAAGGTCGCCCGTCCACCGCTGTGAACAACAAAAAGTCTATGCTGTACGCGATATGATCGAAGCAAACAGGCATGTGATCTGTCATGATATTGGGGCATCCTTAGACATAGACATGAGTCAAATACAATCAATCCTACACAAACATTTGGATGTGAGAAAGCTATGCATGCGATGGATCCCACATAATTTGATCGAGGCTAAAAAACGGAACGCAAAACTTGGTGCAATGCCATGCTTACAAGATTCAACGAAGAGGCGTCAAATTTCGTGTAGGACATTTTTAATAAAACTGGACTCGTGGCTACTGTTGCTTTTGAGAATCGTCGTATCGTGAATAGTGACTGGTATACGATCATTTGTTTACCGGAAGTTATGGACCAACTGCATAAAATTAACCGTAAACGCCGTAAACATCACGACAGTGTTGGTTTCCACACAGCCAGACAGACAAATGAATTTTTGAAGTTTAAAAACGTAGAACTTATGAGCCATCCTGCATACGGTCCCGATCTTGCACCTTGTGACTTATTCTGTTCCCAAACATTAAGAACTGATTACGCGGTAAATGATTTTCATCACCGAAAGAGGCTGTATATGAGTATGCAAAACATGTTTTTGAGGTTACCACGGAGGAGTGGCAAAAATGTTTCAAAATTATTTTAGTCACATCAAAAAGTGTATTTACGCATTTAATGTATAACAATAAATTATTTTTTTCTTATTCATTCCGGAAACTTTTAGTAAGCCTCACGTAACATACATTCGAGTAGCACGTGATAATGTAAAAGTGGTAAAAAATTATATTTAGTTAAAAATTATATATGTAAAAAATAAGTTTATTGAACCAAATATATTCACAATCTTATGTAAGTAAGTAAAACGCACACTTCGAACTATAAAGTTCCTTTACATAGTTATAGCAATGCATAACTATGTAAAGGATAAGCATAGTTAAGCATCCCCTAACATTTTCTTAAGTCTGTCTGCTGTATAAATTTTAGAGTACTTTTCTGTTAAGTACCAACATCCACATCTTTTTATTATTAAAATAAGACTTATTACTTTTTATTTTATGCGAAAAGTTGTCAAACGAGCAGACGGTTCACCTGATGTTAAGTGAATACCGCCGCCACACCCGAGGGTTACAGATGCATTGACAACCTTTTGAAAATTGAGCTCCGGCTACCTCATTCACCAGACGAAACGCGAAAGTATTTGTCATAGCCGAGGCTGCTGCGTGGCCCTACCACCGTTAAACTTAGACTGAAGCGGTGATCTAATCGCTGATAATGAAAATGAAGATCATATAATGCGTGTGATATTTCCGAAGACTGTGGTAGGGCCACGCAACAGTTTTCAGTCTGTTGCACGAATGGGCCGGTCCGTCCGGGTAATTACCACGACCTCACAGAAGATCGGCGTAAAGTACAAGTGTTAGGTACACTTCTGCGTTTCGTCTGGTGAGTTAGGTAGCCAGGGCCCACTTTATTTAAAGTTGGCAACGTATTTAAAACCCTATGGATGTACCCAATGTCCATGGGCGGTGGTTAGTACTTAACATCTGGTGAACTGCCAGCTACTTTTTCCACATTAAAAAAAAAGAAAAATTTTCAAAGCCGCCGGGTTAATAGCAAACTACATATGCACAAAAAATAACTGCTTTTGTTTGTTACATTTAGTGAGATTTCAATTTTCATTCACGACTAAATATGTGTCATCAACAGGGTCGGAGAACCGCGGCGGGTAAGTGGATTAAGGTTAACATGAGTATCGTCACATATTGCATATCATTATTCAAGCGTGATGAGTGAATGATATAATTATTATTATGTTACATTTAGCTAGTATAATAAGTTTTGTAAATATTTTTTATCAATACATTGTTATTAGGTGTTACCTTTTTTTTTTTTTTTTTTTGAAAAGTTTTGAAGAGTTTGTTTCTCATTGATAGACCTGAGCGGTGAAATACTATTTTTTAGAGGTATAATTTAAATATAATAAATTCATATCTATTAAGAAATATTTTGTGATATTTGGGATGAGTTTATTTTGTACATTATTTAATATACGTTACCAAATAATAAAACTGCGGACGATTACTTATTTTCTGAGGCCACAACGTTCCGATATCATTTTCATTCCTAAAAATTAATATACAGGGGAAACAAATAATTATGCTTATAAGAACTATTTAAGAACATGTTTAGATGTAAGCTTCTGACATAATATGTCATGTAGTTTGGACGAAGTCTTTCGATTCTATGATAATATAAATTGTGTATTATGTTTCGAATATTCTTTAACTGGTATGAAAAACCAGAACAATAATAACTATGGAGCCCTTCTTTTTAATAGTATTTTTTATAACAGGCAAAACGCAACTAATTTACTCATAAATAGCTTAACTTTACAATTAGATTAATATGGATAAAGCACTTTTTTAATTTTAGCAAAATATTAGAATTACATTTCTATAGTATTAAAATATTTCCATGATGTTTAATAACATTAACCATTAAGTCGAAAAAGAGTTATGAATATTGAAAAAGAAAACTACTAATATTTGAAATATTCCAAAAAGTAAACAATAAGAAATACTTACCAATGTCGACCGCTCCATAAATAGTTGTTAAAGTAGCTACGAATAAACAAATTGCTGACAATACTTTTGTATTGCACATATTAATACAAGTTATTTCGTAGTCGGTAAAGAAAAGACGACTTGTTCGCCACAGACTCGGGTGCCAATTGCAAGAGACGCTCACAGAACCAGAAAGAAGTGTGTGTGGGTCGGCTACAGATTTGAGATTGCATAAACGCAAGTCGCTCTCAATGCCACCTACTGGTTATACGGAATACTTAAATGTTCATTATCTTAATCATTTGACGAAAAAAAGGTTATAAACAATTTTTTTGTTGATCTCACATTTAGTATTATTTTACAAATGTACCAACAAGCACTTAAAAACAGATTTCGTTGATCTTATCTATTGTAAGTTATAACATTGTAAGTTTTTGCTGATTTTGTACTTTAAGCCAAGACATTTATAGTTTACCCATATTTTGAATTGAAATCTCAAGTTTCACTAATATTTTTAAAGGATGACTTGAGTTTTTGTGACTTCAATAATTATTAAGGCGCATAATAATTGTTTTTCGTTAACTATACAATGTGTTGAGACTAGTGATGTGCCGGATCATTAAAATTGTATATCCGCGGATAGGGTCCGGATACGGATCTTTGGCGTCAATATCCGCGGATACGGATACGGATACGGATCATAACTTAATATCCAGGAAAATCTCAATATTAGTGTATCCACCGTCCTTGATTTTGTGTCTGATTCGATGGATAAATAACATTTTAAATTTTCAGAAATTTTCAGAAGTAGCCACATTTTTACACCCACGGCTCAAAGGAATAAAACAAAATTGCTTACAACTTTGGAAAATTAAGTAACTCTCACAGCAACTGTAAAAATTACTAAGGACAAACCAATGATTTTTGCCAGAGTCCAGAAGAGTCTATGGCTAACATGTTAGATAGAAGATAGAAAACTCATTTGCTCATACAGTATATATCACTAAAGTATTGGCAGATTAACAGAAAAGAAAAGTTTGAAGGTCTCAATGCGACTTGACGACCCGCTTGGCGTGGGGAGTAGGTAGTGAACCTGCCTCTTGCGCCAGAGGGTGTGTGGGTTCGATCCCCACTACTGGAAAAATATTGTGTTATTAACATAGTGTTTTTCCAATGTCTAGGTGTCTATAAATGTGTAATTAGGTATGTTTATCATTGCTTAGTTTGGGACTAGAGAACGTAAAAAATGTCCGAAAATATTTATGTTTATATTGCTTACACATATTAATTTTTTATCATGACTTTTGGGGGATACAGCTGCCAAGTTACTCTTTTTAAGTACAATTTACCGTTCCTTTAATTGTCACTGTGTTTTTAATTTGAGTGTCACTGTGTATTAATTTACTTAATTAGATATACGATTATAAGGGTAAAGATCCTAAAAGATCCGTCAAAAATGTAGCGGATACGGATACGGATCTTTTTTTCCGGATATCCGCGGATACGGATACGGATATCCGGAACATCACTAGTTGAGACTACTACACGATTAACTTAGGACTAGGCGGCTTACACACGTAACTCTAATTAATGATTAGTGCGGTCATAAAATCTTTAATAAACGAGATCGTTTAGAAGGAGCGCATTTTTATAGGAGTGTTTAAAATAGTTTTCTTGTTTCAAGTATCAATCAATCTGTGTAATCTCTAGTGTAAAAAGTAATATAAATCGTGAATTTATTGCTATTTAGAGCCGAAATTAAAAATACCTCATGACATTTTTTCAGCTAGCTTTTTTTAAATATTTAAATTAATAACTAGAGTACCTACTATTATGATTATATAAAATTTACGTGTCCTATCTACATATATTTGAAGGACAAAAAAAATGCTCCGTATTCTAAATAAAAAAGAACTGGTTTTATCAAAGCTGCAAGGAACAATTTCCTAAAAATATTGTGTTTTTATCATGTTTCACATGAAACCTTGACTACGATTGCTGTTATTAAATTATTTTTGATAAGCAATCATAGTCTTTTTTATAAAAGAACTATTTTACTATTTAACATAATGGTGTACAGGATGTTTTTCTACATAAGTTTTTGGGCTCACTCATGTTTTTGACATCATACTTATATATCCACCCAACGTGCAATGGCGGACATGCGAGGGGTGGAAAGGGCGGTCCGCCGCAGGCCTCTAGTGTTGTGTGGCCCCCAAACGCATTCATTTTCCCTTTAACAAATCCTAAACAAGACTGTAAAAATACACTTAGAAGCTATTTAAGATGTTTAACCAGTAATTTACTCTTTATGCTTAACTGTAAATTACTGCATTTTATATTTAAACTATAAGAAAAGACTAAGTCAGTCGGTCATCTGTCAAAGGTCAGTGCAGGATGGGTACCGCGAAGGCCCATGGTATTTAGAAACAAGTGCGAGTTGAGTGTTGCAAGGAGTTTTTGGAGTTTTTTGGTGAAAATTGGCACAGTGTTTTCGGACGAATCGTTACTGGTGATGAACGTGGGCTCAATACTATGATCCTTATAGTAAGAAAGAGTCCATGCAGTTGCATCAAAAAGGGACAGACCCGCCAAATCAGTTTAAAGGCACCCCATCCATCGGAAAAATCATGACCAAAGTGCTTTGGCATTTTAAGAGAATTTTACGGATTAAAAAAAAGAATCGATAGAGAAATGTTAATAATGAAATATATAAGTTAAAACCCATGCGACAATGCAAGCTTCAATTTTTAAATTTAGAAGTATCGAACAAAAAAGCTCTCAATCGAACGCTCCAAGATTTGCGCACAGTATATCAATCAAATATGTATCAATATCAGATTGAAAAACATACCATGCCTTCGTTCCGACTGTTGAAGGCACTATGATAAAACGCAGAAATAACATGAAGATTCTTTAATAAACATTTATAAGTAATCGAAACATAATAACGTCGATTTATTGTAAATTTAAGTACATCTAAGTAAGATCAAATGATTTATTAAACTCAATTAGGTAAACAAAATATTCTGTTGGATGTTTTTGTAATCTCGCGTTAACTGGTAGAAGGCGCGATCCGGGCACCGGCGCTACCCTTGGACACTGTAGATGGCCTAGCTCCTAAAGGACTTCTCGGCCCATTATGAAACTTGGCAAGGACTATCTATACACTATTAACTAGTTTTAGAAAAAAAAAAAAAAAATTAAAGTGGTCCAAATTTGTGAAATTCAAGTTTAAAAAGTTTGAACATGATTTTTTTCCAAAAAAAAAAATTTTTTTTTAATATCCAAAAATGCAATTAAAAAGCTCATTAAATTAAGCATACACTTGACTACTTCATTTATTTCCATTTATCTTTTCAATACCGGATAATGGGATTCGAAGTGGCGCATACCTGCCGGTTAGTCACATTTTTAAAGCTCTGTAAATCGTAAACTACATTTTATACTGTATCTAAAATATTTTGTATCTGGATTGAGGACACATATATGTATAACATAATCAAATATTACTAAAATCGGAAACATCAACTTTTTTTACCTGTCCGCTTCGCGTGGAATGCCCCATAATATGCTCTGGAACTTTGCTTTTAAAAACGATTCCTGGCCAACCTAATTTTGAAAGGTAATGCATTCCACAGAAGGCTGGACTGAATAAAGAAAGAAGATTGTACTGCAGCTGAGAACGGTATATAGACACATGATCGTATTTACGAAGATTGAAGACGAATCGAATAAAATTATTCAGAAATCGGTTGAGTTTATTGACTTGTTCTGCATTCAGAAGACGTGTATTCCAACGGCCTTATTACTCAAGCGCCCTCATCTTCGACGTCGCAAAGGCATTCGACAAGGTATTGCACAACGGTTTGCTTTACAAGCTGTTGGCACCTTAACTTGTCAGACAGGCTCGATACACACTTGTTGTCAAATCGTTCTATTCGATACCGAGTAGAGGGTGCCCTCTCTAAGAGACTCATTCCTCAAGGCGGGTATCTCCTCAAGAAGATGTATATCTTTTCTATATTACGAGCTATACAGCTCTACCTCCACAAAAAATAATTCAAAGAAACAAATTAATAACGACTTTACAACACTTTATATATCCAACATATATAGGTATCAAACATAATAGTGCGGGTGGTGCCTAATGCTTGACTGCTATCTCATCTGATGATAAGTAGTGATGTAGCTGTAGACGGTTAACACACTAACTCAGTAAAAGCCTATCCACTCTTGCCTTGAAAAACCCACGATAAATTCGGACGGAATGTCAGAAGCCGGCAAATTATTATTATCAGTATCCTATGAGATGTTTGTTCGATAAACGCTCCAAAATAATGCAGAGTACGGAGGTAAGTCAGCTCGGATACCCTTTTTGGGCACACGCTGTCACATCAAATCAAATCACTTTTAAAATATGTAAGTAGTATTTAATATATTCTAAAAGCTGAAACTAAAACAGGCTTAGTGCATGTATTTTCATTTAAATATTACTCGCAGGATCGCTGCCCGCCCCAGCTTCGCAAGGGTGCAATACATATAGAAAAATATGAGTTATTGAGTTTGGAGTCCAGGCGCACTCTTACTGTGGCTATGCTGTTAATATATTTATTATGTAATAATATATTCGACTGTATGGAGCTTTACTAACAAGATTGCTTACATTGTACCAGACTTAAGAGTTACCAGACGCGATGCACGCGTGCCCCGATTATTCCACACTGAAAGTGTAGAACAAATGCTGGGCAGCGAGCACCGCTTCGTAGAGTGCTAGATGTATATAACTCTTATGAAATGTGATTTGTTTTCACTTTTCCAATTTAAAAGAATGGTTACACTAGCTAATTGCCAATCTTAATTTAAAAAATTCTTCGTCTTTGCCTAATCTTGGTGCGTTTTTGGAGAAAAGGTGATGGAACGAGGCGACAATTTTGAATATTGTTAATTAAATTATTGTATTACATATTAAAGGTTTTAAAACAAAAATCTAGAGTATGAACGATACGTACGTGGACTTTTTTTTTATTTTGTGTGGCCCTTGCACCCACTGTTGGGTACTTAGTCCCAACTACCACTGCAACATTGATCCTTACATAA